GTAACTGGTCTTTTTGTTGAGTTATTTTTTTTGCTTGTATTTCATTTCTTTTATGAATTTCATCAATATTATAAATTCGTTTATCTTCTCTTTGTTTCCAAATTATAGCAATATTTAATAAATCTTGGTTTGAAAATTCTAAAATTAGGGTGTGGTGACTTAGTGAAGTGGTGAAGTTGTCGCACCCCCAAGTGGCAAAACCAGAGTTCGAATTCCACTGGCAACAAAAAAAATTCAAAACTGTGAGTATAAAGGCAGATCGATATCTGTAACTAGATTACACCAGCTCGTACTGGGAGACTGTAGAACAATAGTGTAATGTACGAGTTACACAAAATCCAAATGAAGCAGTTGTGTAAATCTGAGGTTGGCGTACATGGAAGCCCACTTGGCAAGACCCAAGTAGAGAGGTAGCACAGATTTTCGACAGTACTATGTAAAGGATTATCAACCAGAAAACTGGAAAACTGAACAGGACCGAAGTGTTTGGCAAAGCACTCTACTAACCAGGCTGCCAGAGAGTATCTGGAAGAAAAGAACTTAACCGTAGGGACCAGGGGCAGGTCACAGCCCTTCCAGGCCATCTGGATTAGAAGTTTGGGATGACAGATATACGGGGATAGTCCATATAGTGGGTGCTGAGGTTTGGGTGAACTCTACAAGGGTGGTAGTAGGTAACAGTAGCGGCTTTGGCTTACAAATACTTGTTCTTGAACTCGGCGTAAGTTACCAAAAGTCTAGATTAGCTAGATTTGTAGGTACAGAAGGCTCTAGCAGGTTTACCTTGAGGATAAAGGGTTCAATATGAGCCTGTTTTAAAGTTCTAAGTCGGGTGTCTGAAAATAAGGAGGTATTGCGTATTTTCGCTCGATTAGATGATTAATGTATATAGACACAGAGGGTTTAAATGGGTAACTCAGTAGAGTTATAGGTATGGCAGCTAGTATAGAATTTTCTGGGTGTTTACTTAAATAGGCAATCAAAAGTTGCATATGTGGCTAGTTGTACTCTCCAAATATGTGTACAGTTTGGTATATTATACTGTAAAAGTTAACAATAATTGAATAAAAGGAGATGACCAAGAGGTCATCTTAACATCAAAAAAAAAAAATTTCTAAAATTTCATCCACTTGCTGTAAAATTTGTAACAATTCTAAGAGACTATTATTATTATAAATTACTGCTAATATATGGCAAGTTTTATAAGATTTTAGATAATCTTGTTTTTTATCAATATAATTTAATTTAATTCTGTTTACAGATTTATTTTGACTAGTACGCATTTTCGTAATTAAGCTTTGATGAGGTGCTAGTTGAGTAATTCCTTTAAGAAATTCTTTTAAGGCATTTAACTGTATATTTGACTTTCCAATAAGATTAGGTTCAGGCAAAGTTAAATCTGGATTATCTACTTTCTAACATATTTCATTCCAACATCGACTATGATTATCAAGTAAATGGTCTACTACAATATTATAATGTAATTGATGTAAGTCACTATCTGTATGTAGTGAATAATTATTATTATCAGTACGAATACATGCAGCATATATGGATCTAGTATAAAAATCCATAATTAGTTGTTCAAGGTATTTCCATTTTTCATTTTTAGCTATAAAATCACTATTTATATTAAATATAATTAATTTAATTAAATAATCAAATATATATTTAATTTATACCTATTTTTTTTCTTATAGTTGCTGATTTATGTTTTAAATTTGCAAATATTTTTGATACAATTGATTGGTTTGCTAATGTTTTATTGCTATTTAGATCTCAATCTACAGCAACTCCAAGAACAATATCATATTCAATAAGTGTAGGAATAATTTTTGTAATAAAGCCAATTAAGTTGGCGTGTTCCATTTGTCGACTACTCTTATTATAATTTCCTTCATTAATTATAATAGTTTCATCTTTTTTATTTTTATAAATTCAAGATTTTTCTACCAAATAGTAGCCTACAATAGATTTAGCACGATATCTTATTATATTGATAAGTATATTAATAATTATATTATATAGCATTATTATAAATAATTATTTACTAACCATCAATTGTTCCATTATAGATGAATTCACCACTAGCTTGTGATGCTTCTCATACATGACTCAATGAAATATCAAAACTAACTTCTAATATATGATTACCTTGTGATTTAACTTGTTTACAAGCAGCACACAAAGCAAAGTTAGCACTATTTTCAGCACTTTTTTGAATTTTTTGAAAAAAAATTTCTTGCTTTTGAAAATATTGTTTTTTTCTACTTTGTCGTGTAATACCACATGCATATAATATTGTTACCCATTTTTATTTATTTACTCTTCCAACTAATACTGCACCAGCAACAAGTTTTAAATAATCGATTTTATC